CGGTTATTTCCAAAACGATCGACCTTGCACCAAAGCCGTCGTGAAAAGATAGGTTGCACACGGCAAGAAAGTCTTTCGTACGTCGCAAGGAAGGCCGACGAGACGCCACGCCCAGGAATTTCATCCACGCTTCTCGAACATTGGACACATCGTGTAATTATCCGGAGCACCTGTAGGTGAACCTTTACATTCCACGATTTTTATTTCCGTCCATTATTTCTGTTTAAGAATCAACGAGGACAACCGTACACCCGACATATTGTTGTTGGAAGGCATTTCGAGATGTGGATAAAGAACTAGAAGGAAGAAAATGAAGAACATAATGTAACGATAAATTTTTATTTATTTTAAACTTTTCGAATTTTGATCTGAAGTTTTTTCACACTCGAGTGATATTTTTGAATAAATTATAGCAACTATACACATGTTAATAAAGATTTCATGAGAGGATCTACGTTTGTGTCGTTTCATCTAATGGAAATTTAAATTGTTTATAATTTAAATAAATCTTGATTGGCAATTTTTGTATTTGCTTGATCTCTAGAATCGAAATATTCCACGACTATATTAATATACATGTAATATTCACGGATAGATGTTCAAATTTATATATTATTTTTCTAATTCTTCCAATCCTGTTTAATAAAATCTATAAACCGGGCATCAATTTATTCCCGATCCTCGAAGTGTCCCTTGCGGACTTGCACATACCACTATACTGAGAGCCTACCACGGACCATATAAAACATTTAAAAAAATTCTATTTTTGTGTTTCTATGGAAACTCACTTGCTTCTTCAACGAAGTATATAATGTAACTCTAAAAGTGAATTTTCAATACTTCTTTTCCAAAATTTTGAGCGCAAATCCCTGGTCTGAAACTTAACATTTACTTTCCATCACTTCCGGCAGAGAAGACGTTTAATAACGTGGAATAATTTTCGAACATTTTCCATCGAGAAATCGGTCGACGATCGCCGAAGGCCCCCAATTTCACCACCCTCGGAAGTCGAGCTCGTCGTTGAGTTATCGTATCACCGCTTCATGCTTGTCGCAACCCGCTTCTATAATCGATCTATAATCGCGGACTACGATCGTTACGCGAGAGTTATGAAATTATAAAGAACATAACTGTCCAACTTTCTTTTCCTTTTCCTCGCCTCGTCGAATACCTTCAAACTTTCTTTCCAACATTTAAAGATTCTAAAGATTGCCCTCTTAATCAGTTTCGAAAAACTCGCGAGATCCGATCTCGAATATGATATAGACGACATATAAAATATGAGATGAAAGACACATCAATTCCAAATCGATTCCACTCAATGAAACTATTGAACGAGCATCGAGTGAAAATCAAAATAAATGCACAAAAAAAAAAAATTCTATAAAACATACCTGTTAAACAAACTAATGCAAACAGCAATTTAAAATATAAAAATTTTCCCAAACGTAAAAAGAGACTCAAACGAAATCTTTCATTTCGTGAAAAAGAATCCTCTTCGAAGCAATAACTGTCAGCTTCAATAGTCACCCAACTTTTACTTCCTCTATCGATCATATCCACGAGAATATAGATATATCAACTTAGACCAGCCTTAACGAACGAAAAATCGACAAAAGGCAACGCGTATGCTGCATGCAGGGACCGAGAATCCCGTCAAGAGTACTGGCGTCAAACAATGCTCGACAATGGAAATTACCAGCGACTGAATCGCGTGCGTGGGTAGGTAGAACAGGAACCATTGAACCGGGCATCAATTTATTCCCGATCCTCGAAGTGTCCCTTGCGGACTTGCACATACCACTATACTGAGAGCCTGCCACGGACCACCGCCCATGCCCACCTTTCACGATACACGTGCCCTCGCTTCGGGCTTCTCTCCGATTCTAACCGATCTACTTGCCAATCGTCCGACCGTATGCCCTTTTCACGTCTGTCCCTATCTCCGTGTATTCTCTCTGTATTCATTGGGTATCGAATACAGAGAATTTTACGATTTTTTACATTTGTTCGCATGATACGGTTCACGTATGGTACGGAATGGTAAATATCAATTTCGTTTCGTGCCGATCCCTCCTTATCACAGGGATCTGTGATAGAGTACAATGTGGTTGGGTATTTTTCTCTTTCTCGAGGATTTTTAACGCGAGAGAGAAAGGGAGAAAGAGGGAGAGAGAGAAAGAGAGTAAGTATTTTTGATTTAAGATTGATTACGAAATTTGTCTAAAATTGAATTGAAAATTTCTTTTTGGGTAATGCCAGTCGGGTGTGCGTTACGCAAAGTGAAATGGAAAGCGAGTTAATCTCGTTCTCGTGTTACAGTTTCTTTAATTGGGCAAGTTATCGCGAATTCTTGATGGAGTGTCCGGTTTATTTATATCGAGATATCCGTATTTGGATCCGATTTTTCATCCCGAGCCTTTTTTTTCTTTTTTTTTTTTTCTTTTTGATTCCGGATTTTGACTCGCTCGCTTAGAGAGAAGAGGAGCACAGCCAAGAGCGATTCCAAGTTCTCCGATAATTTATTTTATCGTATCGACGTAAGGAGAATTTGAAATTGTGACAGAGTTGGTAAAATAAAAAAAAAAAAAGAGAGAAAAAAGAGTAAAAAGTTGGAAGAATTTAATGTCAAGAAATGTACGTCGAGGAACTTTCTATTCCTCAAATCAAATGCCTTTGTAACGCTCGATATTACCTCTTGAAATTCAATAAATCATTTTCCAACTATCGAGCCAACTTCTCTTAATACCTTGCCGAGATATATAACTTACGTAACAAGGCGATAAGAAATTCCTCGACGAAAAAGAGACATACTTTTCACCGTTGGCACAACTTTGGCGCAACTTTATCTATAAATATATCTCGATCTATCGAGCACGACATTAGACGTGGTCGAGAGAGAGAGAGAGAGGAGAGAGAGACAGAGAAAAAGTAGAAAGGAAAAAGAACGGAAAAGGAACAAAAGATTGGCTGAAAGTCATTCAGACGAAAGATAAAGGCAGCACGAGCGACTTATTTCCTGCACGACAGTGCGTGTTTCATCGATATGCTCGTACGCAATTTCGCGATTCCGCGTTCACTCTCGAGCCATTGTGATGCAAGGCGTGGTGCCACACTCTGTCGAGCCAGATATCGCTGGAACTTGCTTTCCTTTATTCGCGCACGCACGCACGAATCCTCTTATCCCCGATATCTAATTCAAATTATTTCCAGGGGAAAAAGATAAGCTTTCTTCGATGTACAATTGTTTTAATGATAAAAATCTAGCTAGATAAATTTTCCGTGACTTGTGGAGTTTTTAAGGAAAGTTTGATCCTCGAAAATCTAATGGCTCCAACCTTTGTGTATAATATTAATCCTATATTCAATAGAAAATAATTTTTTCACATATTCAATTTTTTCTTTGATTCTACTATCTACAAATATTGTCAATATTTTCGATTTAATTGCATTTTTCGCGATTGGTTCTTATATTTATTAAAAATCAAACCATCGAATTATTCATTATCCAGAAGGAAATCCATTTCTATTGAGTTTGAAATTAACTCAAAAAAAAAAAAAAAAAAATTGAGGAAAAAGGAAACGCACCCTCAAACGGAATCGAAGA